GGCTGAAGCCGCCATGTTCTTTAGACTGAACTGTCGCGCTTCTTGTTGCGTCACACCTCAACGCGCCTCAAAGCCAACGCTGATTGGACGTTCGTTTGGTGAACGGCTCCAAATTTTCTTTAACGGAAAGTCTCCAGACCGATTAGCGAGTGAAATCTTGAAAGCTTGGTCTCATGAGGCTACATTTCTAGTGCTTTCAAAAAAATAAAACAAAATTGGAGCAACAGCACTTGGAACAGCAATGTTGCAATCGAAAATATTCACTTTTCTAGATTTTAGATAGAGCTGGACAATAATTCAATAACAATATATATCAAGCGATAGACGAGTTTTGCGATATAAAGAAAGAGGGTCGATAAAAATCTGATATAGAAACACAGGCTTCCTTCCTTTTCATTGCAGCCTATCCTGTAGGTTGATGCTACAGTCACCACTTCCCCACCAACCAATCCCAATCACAGACCCAGACACGCCGCCACAAAGCGCCTCCCTCTCACACCAAACACAGCATGTGAAGATGTCGCAGCAGGAGAGGTGCAGGAAATGGCCCCAAAGAACGGTTTTAGCAGTTTGCCGGTTTGTCAATATTTCCATTGTAGTAAGTCAGACGGAAACCAAACCAACACAGCGAACATGCCACACAGCGATGGATATGCTGCAACTGAAAAACCCACGATACCAAGTTCTGGGCTGCACGTATTTCTCTGTTGCACGCAGCTACAGATCACGATGCATGTTCTCAAACTGTGCAGCCCGACGCTCTGATGCGATCTAAATGCTCACACTGGGTCTCAGCTCCACAGTGAGATGGAGCTACTCGGAATCGTCTATCCGGAAGCCAAACGAGTAGAAGAGGAACATTAAATCTCACTAGAGTGAAACGCGCTGCCATGGCAATTTGGGGAATTTTGTGCTGAAAGCCCTAAAAAGAAAAGAGGAGGACGTATTTGGACAAAGACATGGCTGAGGAAACGTGGCTACTATGGTCTGTCAATACAGAAATAACTCCATCTCACTCATTGCATCCCCGCCATGCTTCTGTGTTTTCCTCTGAGAGGAAGAAGAATCCTTGCCTACGATGGTCGACTGAAAATAAGACATTTGTCTTTCTCCCAACCTTACGATTACTGATGGAGAGGTGGTCGTGAGAGGATGATCGCCCCCCCTGTTCACTACATGACGCAAAATGAGGCTGAAACTCGGGCCGATCGAAAAATTCGCACACGACTGGAAAGCCGCCCCGAAAAGGGCAAAAAAATAAGTCGCACAGAATATGACTGGCTTAAATTGTACAATGAGTGCGAGGAATCGGAGCAAAATGAGCTGCAATCTGTGTCTTACTACGTTACATCATCAGACCTCTGGTCAAGACGCACACCCGAGCACGCCCTACCCCCCCCTTTTCTCTGAACCAACTCTTGAGATTGATCATGGCATGAGTAAACAGTGTAGCATGTTATAAGGCAAAAGGAGGAAAGAGGCGGCGGAGGCAAACATGCAAGCGAATAAATGCAGAAGAGACTTCCTCAATTATACGATTTAGCAAAATTTCAAATTGTGGACTTTTAAAAACATAAACTAATCGAATTAATTTGATTTAACGCCCAGCTCTACATAGAAGCCATATTCATATACTTCCAGACTCTGCAATACAGAAAAAAAACAAAACTTTTTTTCTTTAAGGTTTAAAAGCATATTAATGGGATTGCTTTTTAATAAATGTTACACAAAACTGAAGCTCTTTTCTTCCCGTTTATTTTTAAATTAAATACCTTTAACCCTTTAAGTCTATGTGATGTAAAAAAAAAATAAGTAAAAAGTAGGGATGCACGATATTGGGATTTGGGCCGATATCCGATATGCTGATATTTTAAAACTCATG